ATTCAGAATGCTGTGCCTGTACCATTTCTCTTTTCTTTCATTCATTAGTTCCTTTCTTTCAGTATAAAAGTCCTCTTCTCCAAAAGACTGGGTGGTTTTTGGAGAGAGGAAAGAAAATTAGCTACTTATCTTTTATGCTTGTGCGCCTCTGTGGAACCCAGAAATTAAATTTTAGTCTGTTTGAAACATTTTGGAATATTAAGCATCTCCTTAGATAATGTGGTTTCTTTAATTCTGAATCATATTACAATATATTAAATACACCTCAACATGTCAACACTTTGGTACACAGTCCTGCAAATCAGAAATCTCAACCAACAAGAGTGATCTGTCCCAGCCATGTCCCCTTTCATCCATGATGGTGGTCTTCTTTCCAACAGTTACATTGTGGTCAGAGTTTTACATTGGATCCTTGAAAGCACTTCACTTCAGTGCAGCCAACACCCCCTCACCCTCTTAGCTAGAAATGGGATTGGGAAATCTAGTTTTGTTACACTTTCCAGGCCACCTCAGACCCATCAGAAGCACAGTGCAGGCAATGCTAGAATGATCTATCATTCCCTATTGAACTCTGTTTTTGAGAGGCGACTTGGAACTAATCAGTCACTTTGTCCTTTGTCCTTCAGGGGGTTTTGGCCCACAGTACAAGTAATGGCCATAATTCATTGCCCAATTTTCCCAATTCCAAGGTCTTAATGACTCAGAGTCAAGTCATGGTTCTCCATGTACTGTTGGCCCTTCTTATCTATGGATTCTTTATCCACGGTTCCAAGTATCCACAACTTGAAAATATTCAAAAATATATAAATTGCAAAAAGCAAACCTTGATTTTGCCATTTTATATAAGGGACACTATTTTACTATGGCATTGTATTTAATGGGACTTGAGCATCCACAAGTTTTGGTATCCACAACTGGTTCTGGAATCAAACCCCAGCGGATACCAAGGGCCCACTGTAATATCGAACCAGGGCAATTTATGTAATATTTTCCCCAGGTTCAACTCAGTTGACTTAGGACAATTGAATTAATGAAGAAGTGGGCTGTAGGCTGAAGAGTTGTACCTAGTTAATCCTTTTTGCTGATGGAATAGCTCCCATCAGTGGAGTAGGGAGTAAGGTGGTTTACCTTAATCTTCCCATGTGAACTCAGTGTATTCATTAGAGGGTTGGGGAACATAGGGATGGCAGAAGAGATATCTATTTGTATGATACTGCGTTCTATGCTAAGTTTCTTGTGTTCTGTGCAAAGATGTGCTGTTATTAATCTAGTATGAAATATTACTGGAAAATCTTTAGGGACAATCATGAGGTTCCAGTACTAGTGTTTGTTCAGTAATACACAGATAATCAGATTGGCTTGGGTAATTCCTGAATAATCAGTTCTTTGTAATCACATGATGTTTTATAACTGACTCAGTGCTAACATTTAAAAGATCACTGGTAAATCCTCAGTTAACAACAGTGACGGATAAATTTTTTGGCCTACAACTCCCATCATCGTCATCTTCACCATGATCTCCAGCATTGGCCTTCTTAGCAACTTAAATATGTGGAGAGTGTGTCTATTGTCACCCTTGTTGTAGTTGTTGGAATTAACCAGCCTGGCCTTGGTAATAATAGGGCACAAGTTCCATCACGCATTGGTCCAGTTGCTGATATGAGGTCCTCCCTCCATGTCTTTGAGCATCTGCTGGACTTTTTCCCCACCCACACTGCCATTCCCTTTTCTTTGTGTTTCATGTCTTATTTGGCTTATAAGCTTGAGAACAAGGAGCTGCCAAATTGATGATGGAACTTGTGCCCTATCACTTAGAGCCTTTTAGCTGAGAGGCAGGGTGTAAACACACACTAAATTAAAAAATCAAAAAAACTGAATGAGAAATCAAATTTTGGTGTACAGGATCTAAGACCAACTGCACATTGCCTCTATTTCCTTGATTGCTATAAAGGTTCAAAATAGATTATGGTTTGGATTTTTTAAAAGCAACATTAAATGCAGAAAGTATCCTTACATATAATGAAGAATAAAATATGTCTAAACTACAAACATTAGCTGAATTTTCAGGAGGGTGGCTGTAGTCAGTATATAGGCTAACACAAGGAGAACATGGAATTACTTTACACTGACTATAAAGTAAATTTGCTTTAAAATATAAATGCTCAGAAGATGGCCAGAAGATAGTGCTTCATGCTGATTCCTTTCAGAGCATATGAGTAGCCAGTTTGGCATTACTACAAAGAAACGGCAGCACAACCTTTCCAGGCTGTGTCCATGGAAATTCTAGCCTCGAAGGCTGGCTCTAATGACGGTACAGCCATCTGCTATGAAGACAGAACCAACGCCACTGGGCATGGGGTTAACTCAAGATTTTGAATGTTCCATGGGTTTAAAAATAAAATCCAACAAAAGTTGGGAATATGCATCAAATTGTATTATGTGGCTTGGTGTGTACATTTTTGCATAATTCGATTTCTAACAGGAGACAGGAGCCTTGCTTCTTTTAACAATTGGGAAACATGGTGAGATTCTCAGAATGCTAAAGTCTGCAGTTTAGTTGAATTTTCTCCATGTATGACTCTGAATCAAAATGTTGAAGGCTCCAGCTTATACAAGTAAATGTGTAAATTACAATAAGAACAACAGTGAGTTGTCATCAGTATGGTTAGAAGTAGTGTTCGAACTTATGGCAAACCTAAGACAAACCTCTCACTGGGTTTTCTTGGCAAGATTTGTTCAGAGAAGGTATGCCTTTGCCTTGGTTTCGACTATCCTAAATTCTTGATCATCTTAAAATCCATCTTTTATATGCATGCAGTAGAAAAATTTCTTACTGAGTTAATTGAAACAGTATGTTTACATTTGTTTGGTGCCAAAACTTTCCTGCCAGAAATGAACCTCTTACCATATATATGTATAAGTCAACCGCATGTGTAAGCCGAGGGCAGGCTTTGGGGCCAAAATCATGGATGATCCATGGATAGGTTGAGGGTAAAACTTAAGAGCATGTAAGAGAAATCCAAAGGATAAAACAAAGGAAAACAATGTCAAAGAACTTAAAAAGTTCCAGCAGGCATATCTGTTTGTGTTCAGATGGATGAGAGAGTAAAGGAGGTGTCAGTACTTCTTTTGGGTGCTTTCAGGACAGATTGCATTCTTGCCTTTCACCAGAGGATGGCTCCTTTTAAAATAAGAATTAAAGTACAGTAATCCCATGGGTCAACTCAGGTTTTTTGGGTCAGTTTTTTGACTAAAATTTCTAGATTTATACATGAGTATATACAGTATGTTGCTCCACATGTCAACTCAAATTCTCTTGGTGATCTTTATACCGTTATTACATGAGCATGTCTAGTGTGTTTGGAACACTTCTTTTCAATATATTTAACCATTAGCAATGACATAATTATGAGCAGAGTTCTGTGTTGTAATTCTGCATGCTGCTTTTGAATAAGCTTGTGTATTTTTTTCTCTTTGTTTAGTCTTAAATTATTCAGTAGATTGGGACTAGTGCTGTTTCTCAAGGGAGATTATTAAAATCTAACAGATTTCACCGTCAAGAAGGTTTTGTGATAGATGGCTTAGATTTCTCCATTTAAATTTCTTTCTTTCTGTTCCAACTGATTCAGCCTCTGGACCTCCTCAAATTACTCATAAGTAACAACTTTTCTGCATCTTTGAAAAGGCTGCTACATTACATGCAAATAAAACAGTGTGCAGCTAAAACTCTTGCCTAGAAATCTGAAGCCCAAGTGTTTTTCAGCTCCACAAACAGAAGAAGAAAACAACAGCTAAAAGCGGGATATTGTGGAAGGCTGTAGTTTATATATATATATATTTGCTGTTTTTATTACCAGCTTTGACAAGTTTCAGACAGCTAATTATGGTGTGTTAATTCTCCCTGCTCTGAATTTGCTAATCAAATAATCAGATTGCTTTGCTTTTTCCAACCAATTTAGGCAGCCTGAATCCTCTAAATTTTAAAACAAAAAGATTAGTGGTAATAAGCTGGTACTGATTGTCATTTCTAAGTAATGCATAATTATAGCATTCCAAGAGCAAGCGGGAGAGCTTTTTAAAAGTCAGGCAGTCAGACTTCTGTTTGTGAACCTATTTGGAAAGAGAGGTGCTAGCGCGGGAGTATTTTTAACACTTGCTAATTAGAACTAGAAACATTGTTAAAGTATCTTACCATGACATAGGAGGAGTTCAAAACAAATGAGGTGCTTTCTTATATTAAATGATTTTAAAGCACCAGTCTACAGGTTAAAATTGGCTGTGCTTTGTAAAAGTGGAAGCATCTTGCTCACGGGGCCATAGCTGGGGAAGAGAGCCACCTCTTTAAAACATTCTGGTGCAATGGGTACTCCATATTGGCAGGAGTTCGGTCCCCCCCATCCCAAAAAACATGGACGATTGTACTTTATATTCAGTGGCGCTGGTGTGAAGACAAACTCTTCAGCATGTGTGTGTTCATGTCGTCGCCATTGAATAATATGGGGCATTGCAATCTGAGGATGGTCAATCCATGGATCAGAAGCCTGCCAATATGGCGGGCCCACTGTACTCCCACTCACTTTGGTTCTACTTTCTTTATATCTGTCTGTTTTACATTAGAAAGGGGAAGATCCAGGCCATAATCTGATACCTACCAAGAAGAAAACTAATTCCTCTCTTCTAGTGTTGTAGTCATTAAGTGCAATGAGAAAGCAGATTCCTGGTCAACACAAATTGGCCCATCTGGTTGCAGTGACCCTACAGTGTGTTTACTCACAACCATCACAAAATAACTAAGCACTATCATACCAAAGCAGCAGTCTTAACTTTTCCCACAGTGTTGTTGTTGTTGTTATTGTTTGCCTTCAGGTTGTTTCCAACTGATGGTGACTATAAGGTAAACCTATCCTGGGATTTTCTTGGCAAGATTTGTTCAGAGGTTTGCCATTGCCTTCCACTGAGGCTGAGAACATGTGATGCCCAAGGTCACTCAGTGGGTTTCATGGCTGAGCTGGGAATTGAACCCTGGTCATTAAAGTTGTAGTCTAACACTCAAACCACTGTGCCACACTGGCTCTATAAAAGATGCTTTATAGAATTTCTCAACTGGTGTAAGTTTGTATGGCTGCCTCTTCCTGATCTTTCCTAAGGTGAATATGCTACTCGAATATGATGTGAGATGTTTTGATGTCTTCTTTAAAAGGTCAATATATAAGTTATGTATCTAACCAAGGAAAAAGCTATTTTCCTCCTGAAAGCAAGTGTGTGTACTATTTTGTTTATCTTTATATTAATAAAAGAGCCTAAAAGGTTACAAAGCTATTTGTTCATTTTCCCCTGTTTAAATATCCTGTAATTCCAGTATTTGACAGAGCTTAAGTGGCGCATTGATGCTAAATTCTCTTCCTTGGACTATGTTCACAAGTTGAAAGCCCAGGTAACCAGAATGTGATGAGAGGGACCTCCAGATAGATAAAATTCAGCTGACAAAAAACCTTCAGTCTAAAGCAGGAGTGCTGGGAAGCCATACCAGTTTCAATAGGAAGCTACATATCTTCTTTCTTTGGGAAATTGGAAAATTGATTCTGCACCAGTGGAACCTATGAACCGCTATGTTATTGCAGTTGCCAAGTATTCCCCTTATCCTGAGTGATTCTGTGAAAGAACAGCTGACGCTGGCCAAGTAGGCGCATGACAATGGGTTCAAATCCTGTATTGTTAGTAGAGACTATTGATTCAATTAAGTTCAGTTTTCTATATGTTGTTTTATAACCTTCATTTTGGTGCAGATCCTTACAAGGTACTTGTAGTAATAATTATTAAAAAAAATAGTCATTAACAGTTGATAGAAATATTAATTCTTGCTGAAATCTTCATATGCATAATAAAATTCTAATGAATTGTTAATTGAACTATACATTATAATAATAATATAATAATAAATTTTTATTTTTACCCCTCCTTTCCATGGATATGATCAAGGCGGCTTACA